CGCGGCTCTGCCCCCCCGGGGGGGAGCGGGGACCCCTCCCCCAGGCCAGCACCCATGGCAGAGCCAGGGCCTCACCTCGGGCACCCGTCCCTCCCTCCCCGAGTTGTTCCTGCCACTGTCAGGTCACACCACGACATAAACAAAGTCATTTTTATTTAAAAAAGAAACAAACTGGGGGAGGAAAGCAAACAAACCCCCGCAACACGGCCACAGACAGCGCAACCTTCACCCGCGCTGGTGTCACCTCTCCCAGCAAACACCCAAGCAAGGTGCAGAGGGGTGTTCTACAAGCACAGAGCTCATTTCCAAACGCACAAGGCACTCCCCTTCCACTAAGGGAAACACAAAGGCAGAGCTGGCCTGGAAACCCAGCAGTGCGAAGTCCAACCCCGTCTCCATGCTGGAAGTCCCCACGGCTACGACCAGCAGCGGCGAGGAACCTCGACTTGCTCCTATGAAAGGCAAGGCACAACAATTCCCCGTTTTAAGATCTTCAAAGATCTTCAGCAACCTGTGGCTGTCAGCCCATCAGCTGGCGGATCTCGACGAACAAACCTTCGCTGGTGCCACGAAGTTCGTGGTCATCACAGCTCACCCACCATCCAAGGGGTTAACGCACCCAGTAAGAATCTAAAAAACCTCCAGGTTTTCCTCTCCGAATACCAGCAGCAAGCTCAGAGCACGACCCGAGCCTCGGCCGCAGCCTGCCCTCGGCTGCTGGGGGGGCTAACCCGAGATCTTCAGGGTACGGATACGCCAAGGAACACTTCCGACAGCGAACGGTCTTTGCAGTGCCATGAGGCCTTAGTTCTAATAAATCTTGTAATCTGCAGCAAAAAGCTAAAACCAAACGCATTTTCCTTTTCTCCTGCGGAGTCAGCTCCACAGCCCCGAGTGAGAAACCCAGAGCAGGAGGCCAAGCAGTGGGAGGAGGCACAGCAGGGTATTTACAGCAGCTGAACAGCTTCACCTGTGAGAACTGCCATCCCTTCACAAGAGCCTGGAAAGATGTTCCCATCACACAGAACACAAATTAATACAGAGCTTGAGGCTGTTTCTTTTTCTTTGCGTCAAACCAGGCTGAGACCGGTTCAAACCGCAGAGAAGCTGTCCATGGAACACTCCTATCTGCTCTTTCAAAGAAGATTAAAAAAAAAAAATATAACACCTCTGAAAGTCTGGTCGTTTGTTCCTTGATCAACATCCAGAGAGTAATTCTCAGGTGAGCAAAAAGTTCTTCAAAAACGAGACAACCCCTGAAACAGGGGCTGCTTTCCACTCTCCGACCCCACCAGCTTCCGCGCGCCGCTCAGAGCGCTCGCCAGTCGATGGGCTGCTTGCCGGATTTCTTCAGCAACTCGTTCGTCTTAGAAACCCCGACAGCCAAAAAACCCTCTGTTGACGGAGAAAGGCGAGGGATGCGCCGTCTGCAGGACGTGGTGGCGTTTCTGCAAAGCGTTGGAGGAAGCGCTCGTTAGATTTCCCCGCTCCCCGGACAAGGCTGGCTGCTCCCGCCCCACCGAGCTGGGGGGGGGGTCTCCTCTCCGCCCCCCCCCC